GTGCAGTCCATCGTACTCAGTACACGTCCTATTTCCAATTAACCTTCTGTTTTGCATACATAACAAGGACAACATAAATCAAACCTCAGCGAATTGGGGGAGCAGTTGAGTAACTGGTTTCTATGGCTGATCATTATAAATTTTCAGACGTTTTATGGGAGAACGTACAGTGTTACTTATGTGAAAGCCAACTAACTTAGTAATGCAGCTCTATGACCCACCAAGGCTCAGGCAGATCTCAATATGGGGATGCCGAGCTCCTTAAAGTCACATAACGTCTGCCAAAGAGTGATTTCGTCCGGAAGATCACTACTGCATGCAATAAAAAATGATTTTAGGGTTCAATGGGGACAGTTTTTACAAGCCCTTTGGAGCGTGTGTTACTCGAATTTTAAGTATAGAATGTAGACCGCCGAGACAACGCTAACAAGCTGCTGTCAACGTACGCAAGCAGTTTATTCTTTGCCATAAGTGATCGCGCTTCCTCACGAAACAATTTCACTCGCTATGTACAATGTTAACTTGGTCAATTTTTCTATTATCCCCATCCGCATCGTTTCCAGATATACGGAAAAATTTGTTCTGTTCATAAATGCACATGCGAGCTCAAGGGCTGACTATCTGTTGATCGTAATCAGTCCAAGGAAAAAGTTATCCGAAGAGTGAGTAGTGATTCATTTTACCTCCTGTTTGACAATCTTTTTATTTTTGTGACATTCAGAACAATCCACTTCTTACTGTTCCATCTTTTTATATTTCCTTTTCTGCGTTGTGTATTTGATGATTTTTTTGTTTTTCATCTTTTTGGTCTCTCTCCGCTTCTGTCCATCCCTCCGTTAGTTGTTACGTCTGCAACTTCGTCGACTCCAATAAATCTTCTTAGGGATTAAATATCAGACAGATTTTGTGGACACAGGATGTTAGAGAATACGGGTCAGCACTGTGGTACGATGGAGTCTGGTTCGTTAGGAGACCCGGAATATAAGTACCAAACAGAACAAGAAGGGATGGAAATTTTAAGAAAATATGGTTTTTAATTGGGTCTTGCAATTTTTATAAGATTTTGCCGTCTTTGACGTGATTGTCCGAGGATCATCATACTTAAGTGTTCCGAACTACTGAAGTAGGAAGAACAGTTAGTAAATTTCAGCTCACTTGCCATGTCGCTGGGACTGTCTATATATTAGCTGTATAGCATTCTCAGACTTTCAAAGTGAGTGTTTTATGCGCATGCGCCTATGTTGCCAAGGATTTTTTTCAAAGGGAAGCATTATTTTTTGGTTATGTGGCGTCAGTTTCAAGTACTTTCTGGTAGGTAGAAGTGACCATGCTCCTGTCATGCCTTCCACTGCTTCTGACCCTTATCCTGCTAATTGCAGTCCCTCAAACCCAATTATGTGCATGTTGTTAAGTATGACCTCCAGTTTGTGTTTTAATGTCCGTGCAGGCTAACCACGATATACTGGAGAGTCCTCAAACTCTCGATTAATGCGGGCGTTTTACCTAAGGCCACCGCAACCCTCAATAATGGTCCTGCAAAGTAATCTTTTCTATCGGTTTCGATTTATGCGTTGGAGGTGCTTCGCAGAATTACCTCCTGATTTGTCAAGCAGTGGTGGGGTATGGCGACTTTTTCCACCTACCTGGATTTTTATTCAGCGTCCCAGCATTTAGCTTGGACTTATCCTCCAGGAAGATTCAGTCGACGGTTCGACGATGTTCAAAGGCACTGTCTATCACCTTAAAATATATTTGGCAGCCGGTGAATTCAATGATTAACACTGTGCATCATAGCGACTTTTGAACTGTAACACCTATGACCTTAAAACTAACGTCTACAACAGTGGCCTTGACGCTATTTTTAGCGGTCTGGCGAGGCGCGGGTGTTGTATTCGTGTTCTTGGATTGTTATTGTTTTCAAGGGCTTTTGTACACAAATGTCATCGTCTCGGCCCATGATTTTCTTAGACAGGTTTCCAGCGGGGACCCCTGCCGATGATATACTTAATATCGACAAGCTGATTGAACTGACTAATGGTATAATCGACTTTTGTGGTAAGCACGAGGTCTTTGTCAGTCTGACAAATTTAGATTTACAAGGAGTTGCGTTGTATCCCGTAAAAAAGGAGGTCGGGGGGAATGCGAAGGTATTACAGTTAGAATAACTCATACTCATGCTTTTAAATATCTTTGGATATTCACCCGGCCTATCACCTACGTAGGTTATAGCCCGGGCGGCTAGTTTTGGCCGGCTCCTGTCAATAGCGTGTACAGGTTCAATCCGCCTATCAGTCCCTTGGTGCAAGCCGCACCCAGTCAGCCAAACAGATCACCAGTTGTTTGTGCATGCACAATAACCTACAAACCTATAGGTTGCTAATGCAGGGCTATAACCCTATAGGCAGAGGGTAGCACAAGGTTATCAGAGAAACGCGCACGTGTCAACTATATTTAGCACAAGCACATCTTCCTGGTATTTAAAATATTCTCATGAAGCACATAATTTATTTATTTGGTGATTCGATCCTCTTATTTACGAAAATTACAAAGCGAAGGATGGGGATTTCAAACATTTTCTCGTAATTAGTCAAAACCCAGGACCATTCAGTCTATTGTCACTTGCCCGCTGACTTCAGGAGTACATTTTCCAATGTCTGCTGCAAACCACATCTATCGAAGGAGCATTGTGACCACAATAGCTGAGGACCAATTCTGATTTATGTTAGTCGGTCATGAGCGTATCCATGTCACGCAAGTGTGCTTACCTCGAGAATTGTATACTGATATAAAATCAAATCATACGACCTGATTTTTAGTGTTTTACAGGTCGAATACTAACATCTTGCAGTCGCGTACTCATAACTTGTTTTTGCGTCGTCTCTAGATTTCACTTACCTGCGTGCAAACGTTTTAGGGGTTTCCCTGCAATTTTCAAAATCTCACTGCAACTTCTACTGCTTCTTGGTCAGTGATAACTGTCTTTAAAATTTTCATAGTTTACAGTGACCTATCTGCCTTTGGTCTTTTCGCGCGACACCATCATAGTGCCCTGGGTAGAAGGAACAGGAGAATAATAGTTGTTACAGTGCCTGTATTATTCCATAATACTTATCGGTGTGATTGCATTCAGTTACGCCATTTAACCTGCAGTGAAGTCGAAGGGAACGTATTGCTAAATATGAAAGTTTGGTATGCATAATCTTGTGCTAGAGTAATTGTTAAGAACGGGGACGTTTTTCTCTTTAAGAAAATCTCCAAAGCAGCACAGACCCACGATGCAACAACTCTTGACGAACTTCTTGACAGGGAAAAGAAACTTGGTTGTGCTAAAAGGAGTTCTTCGGGGTCGTCAGCCCTCCTCTGGCTCTTTCGCACTGTGGAACTGATTTTTGCCTTTTTGGCGGGCATCGTAGAGAACCCACAGGCGGAAACACATCAGGTCGGCCGAGACGCTTACTCCAAGACTCTGATGAGGTACCATCACATAGCTGTCCGGAAAATATTTTACGTAAGCAATACCATGTTTCTAAAATGTTTTGCTCTGTAACCTCGCCAGCTTGCAGACTTGCATGTCTGAACATTAAAGCCTGGGATTCGTGCATCGTCCTCATAAAGTCACTTCTCTGCCGAAAATTTAGTCAGTTCCTGAATAAAGCTTTGATAGGTGAATGCTCAGATGCACAACTCTTCTAGTGCACGTGTACTTTGAGGGGTTGCATACACCTTTGTTCCCAAATTATGGAAACGGATAGACCGTTAGGTAATCGGACATGTTTACCTGAAGACCTTGCAAAATGAAAGCAATTTAGCTCCATAATTTGGTTGATACAACCAAACAGTTGTATTTTGAAAACCACCCTCCGAGCGATTTCCGAATTTAAAGGTAATGGAGAAACGGCCGAGTATCCGGACTAGTTGTGGTTGTCCGTCCAAGGGAGGGAAGGACCCAAACCTCCGGACTACATGGACACTGGCCTGACCTACATCTTCAGTCACTGTATTGATCGTCGGACTCATTAAACGATAACGGCAATTTTCCCATTGATTGCACGCGACATTGTGCTGTGAGTATGATCCTCCACCACGGAGTGCGTCATTAAGTGTACTTAGTCCTAAGGACAGTATTCAAGCCGAACTGCTATCGATTATGCTACGCCAGACTTCAGTCCGTGATCATCACATGACCGGTGATTACCCGTTCGGGTATACATGGAAGCGAATAGGGAATGTTGATAGTCGGCAGAAACCAAGTGACGGGCATATTTTATATCCCGTTCCAAAATTCGAAAATTACAATTATTTTGGTTAGGGAGGTATTTCGTCAATTTCTGCCGCAACTTGCTAACCGAACCCTATCACTTCATGAAGTGAGCAGCAGCTATCTTTTGATATACGGTCTCATAGCGCACAAACACTGCAATTATAATGTGACAGCGCGAATCCGTTTGCCGTGATAACAGGCGTTTAAGATAAATAAGGGCAGAAGGTATAGCGTGGAAAAACTACGATGCATGTTCAGTATGTGCCATGGAGGTATTCATATGTATGCTCAATGCAGTACCGACAAGGACGACGAGGACTGGGATGACCATTTCTGACTTGTCTGCCGTCGTCAGTCAGCCCTACCTGGCTCCAGGTTTTAGGGGCCCCTCAGATTTGAATCCAAGATCATTGATAATTGAGTAGAACGCCCAACCATTGAGCCACGGGCCCGCTATCCTGCGATCGGAACTCCTTTCAGCATTTATGTGTTTGCCCTCATGGGCACAACGGGACGAGCATGTCCCGTGACCTGAAAGGCAAACGCATTCTCAATCCGATGAAACGTTTTATCAACAGCCTAAGGGCAACCCAATATACTCACCAATATCGGGTGTACTCGCAGGACTGGTATTAAAACAACTAGGAGAAGATGTTATGCCAACTTTTAGGTCAAAATATGGCTTCGATACGTAGATGATACATTTTTATCATAAAGACCAGCGAAGTTGAGCAGTTGCATCGGAGTCTGCATAGTGCTTCGCCAGCTATCCAGTTGACTCGCGAAGAGGCAACAGGAGGTATCCTCCCGTTTCTATACTGAGTATCCAAAAATCAGCTAACCTCGTAAAGAGCCTCCATCGGAAATGGTCCAATACTGACATCATCCTTAACAATGAAAACAACCATCCTGCGGTCCATAAAAGAAGCTGCATCCGAGCCCTTCTCCACTGAGCCTCTCGTTACTGCACCAACGATGATCTACTCAGGAAAAGACTCACTATCTTGTATCGGCCATTCCGTTTCAACGGGTACCCGATAAAATTTGTGCAAAACTCTCAGACACCAGATACAATCACAAAACTTCGGTCCTAATGGAGAAACAGTTACGGAAATTATACTCTCTACCCTACATACAGGGCACTCCCGAAGCGGTTGCCCGATAATTAAACCTGTTTGGAATCTCCATTCCTCCTTATCCCTGCGCGCAACATTATCTCGGGTAAAAGACCCCATACCCAAAGAGCAACAAACTTATGTCATCTAGCGTATTCCGTGTGCTAACTGCTCTTGCACCTACCTTGAACATACATGCCAACGACTCGGAATGCGTATTAACGAAAATAAACTGACTGTCTGCGGACGTGACCTTCTTTTCCCTCGTGTTTGCACACGCCCCTGAGTGCGACCATCGCCTGAAGTGGTTGCCACGGCCAGCACTAAACAGCCGCGAGAATTCCTCGAAGCCTGCCACTTTAGCACTACCACCATTAATCGCCATGCCGGTGTAGACGCTCATTGCGAAGGTCTGCATGTCCAGCTCACTGTCTCACAGTCTTGCCATTCCCTTACTCTAACAGGGCAAACCACAGCTAGAACTTCTAAGACCTCTAACATTGACGCATTGACCTCTGCCCCCATGCCGCATCGACGATCGCTATTTCACCGTTTGCAGTCTCACTGAATCGTCATTCCCCTTCCCTTCCAACAAGGCGAGCCGTAACAGTTCTCCGTCCACTCCCTCGCTCCAAATCCTATCGTAATTATGTGCCCACTCCTCACACACTAGTTGCCTGTTGGCCACTGCCTGTCCAGTCGCACTAACGGGCCCGGTTTGGCCACTTCACTTTCTCCTCTGTTCATTTCATCTGACGACGACATGGTGTCACCAACTTGGAAAATCTCGGGTATAACTCGGTTTTTCCCGACAAGTCTTCTTCTTTCATCTGAGAATGCACGCCGACTTCGGTCTGGCAGTTGGTTGCCTGTGTGTGACCTTTGCCACCCATACGCAGCTTGTTTGCTTCGGAAAGCCAATTGATTGGTGTGCGCCCATTCCTGAGTGAATATATATGGAACGCAGGCATCCCAAGAAATATAATTTGAAGGGAAATACGTCCTTTGGGAAAAGTAGAAAACTTTGTTAAGTAAATTTTCGATGCTGATTCCCCGGGTTGTCGTCATACTCGAGTAAATGTTCAAAAAACAATTAACATTTCAAACGGGCTGAGAAATAAACATTCATTTGGTGCTTCAACCAGTAAACGGTCGCCGTATGCGTCGGTCTGTATCGATTGGCTTTCGTTTCTTCCACTTTTTCCTAAGATTTTTGTACGTGGCATCGAACTCGATATGCCTATTGATGCATGATTCATCGGAGTACATGGCTTCAAGGAACTCTGGGACTTTTTAGATGGGCAAACTCCGACGATGCCAGTTTTGTCCCATGCGAAAGTGTGCCAGGTATCAAGAGTGTGTATGGCCATTTGAGACAGGTGGTCTTGCCCCTTAACTGCCGGGTGATGTTCGTGGGTGCGTGTAGAGGCAGATTTTTCCGTCTAGTAGCACGTGGAATTCTGAGATCATTTTCTACTTGAAAAGTACGAAGGTACTGTCCACATACCGCGCCCAAAATGTTGACTTGTATGTTACGAGCACCAACACCTATAACCTTTGGAAAATCGCTTCAGCGATGAAACCGGATAGCGGTCAGTCCATCGGCGTACCTCTGATTTGCTTGTAAAAAGTCCCCTCAAAGGGGAAATAGGATTTGAGGCAGTATTTGAGTAATCGCACGAGGTATCACGTTTAGGAGTGTTGTTTCAACGGCCAGACTCTGCGGTATCGAGGTGAAGAGTGAGGTTACATCAAACGATACCGTGACCTCGTCTGTTTCGAGTTGTAGCTCATCGAGTCTTTCCAAAAAGTGGACAGATGAGCGGACCCTCGTATCTGAGCCTGAGGTGAGGCAGTTCAGACGTAGGAACATCCATCTGGTCAGGTTAAATGTCGGCGACCCGGGCAAAGACACAGTGGGACGAAGTGGGGCACCACCTTTGTGCACTTTGGGTAGACCGTGGGACCCTGTCAGGGCCGCTTGGGTCGGTGAATAAATTGGTGACGCAAATGAACACAACGCTCCCCATGCTACAGAATAATGGCGCGATACTGAGGGCAGGACGACTGGGCGGCCATGACTAGGCACTACGGTCTACCAAAAGTGCAAAAGGGTGGTCATGAGATCGAAGACCCCCCTGCCACGCGGCGAAACCGCAGATATCGTATATCGGGTCCGGTGCAGCTCCTGCGAAGCAAACTACGTTGGAGGGACCAGTAATAGATTGCAGACCCGCTTGAGCAAGCACACAAGAGCGGCGCGCAGAACGGATCAGCTCTCGCTAGCGGCGGGACATTACGCAGCTCCTGATCGTACATTCGCCTTCCAAGACGCCTAAATCTTGGACTAAGGAAGCGAGCAGATGGTCAGGAAGACGCTCGAAACCTGCCATACCACAACTACCTCCATCAACCGCTGTGTAACTGTCAGCAACCTTTCAAGCTCTACGGGTGCAGTTCAATAAGCGACAATGCGGGCGAGAAGGCAGACCGGACACGGCGATAGTCGAACCCGGACCGAGCGATAACACGGGTGGACGTGGATGGTTATCAGACACAAACGTAAACAGGGAACCGGTGACGAACGC